GGATTTAATAATGGAAATATTTTTATTTTTTTTAAACATAAAACAGTAATAAATGTCCATTGGGCCAAAAACTCGGTGGGCCTGTAAATTGATAATATACCCCTTTTCTTTGCTATCGACAAACATTTAAATGGGATAAGTTATTCAGAAATTACACCCCCCCCCTTCTTCTCTTTGGATAACAAAATGAAAATGGGCCAACAAAATAAATATCCACCACACCTCCTTTTTTACTAACAACAAAATAACACATAAATGTCTTTAATAAATTTTATTATTATTAGTAATTTTAATTTCAATGATAACAACTATTTAGTAGTTATTATTCTGAAATCACTTTACACTTTCGATTCGCATGGGCCATTGGCCAACATGCCACGTGAACGAATTCACGGATGCACAAGTCTCTCTGCTATAGAAAGCCCTGTTTTCGCGAATTAAAATACACCCCCTAGTCTTGGGTAAAGATGGGCCCCCATATACTGTTGTACCATCTTTAATTGAATATTTATTCTATTTCGATCTCAAAGAATAAAATCATCGAGGTAGGACAAATTTGGGGTACAACAGAAGGCTTCTCGGTGTTGTTAAAAGAGTTATCATGATAAGAGGAGAAAGGGCCCTGAGTTCAACAAATATGATCATGTATTTTTGAGAGTTACTCCGATAACCGGTGTTGGTAGAGCTTTGAATTTGAGGAAACTTACGCCGCATTTTGTTGGTTCGTATCAGATATCAGAAAACATAGGTGAGGTGGCTTATTGCATTACTTTGGCACCGTCACTTGAGAATTTGAATGACGTGTTTCATGTGTCTCAGTTGAGAAAGTATATTCCAGATCCTTTACATGTGATTCAAATGGATGATGTACATGTGAGAGATAACCTGACTGTTAACGTGTTACCATTGCGAATAGAAGGACGGGATGTGAAGCAATTGCGAGGCAAGGACATTGCCTTAGTGAAGGTATTTTGGAGCGGACCAGCTGGTGAAAGTTGGACTTGGGAACACGAAGATCAGATGAGAGAGTCTTAACCGATGTTGTTTCCGTCGGGTAATTTTCGAGGGAAAAAACTCTTTTAAGTGAGGGAGAGTTGTAACACCATAAATTCTATATTAATTATTAATTTAATTAATTTAGAATAAATATATGAGTCTCTGTGAAGTGTTTGGTATATATGATGTTTTGGTGCTTTGTGTTAGTCCCTGTGACGGTATATGATGTGTATTCGTGATGCATCTGTGATGCAATAACGATGACTTGATGAATAAGATATTTAAGATTATGAATTGTATGGTGTAGTATGTAATAATTAGAGGTTTTAGAATTTAAATAATTATTTTAGAATTATTTAAATTTAGTAGTGATTATTTAGAATTATTCGGATTTAAATAAATAGAATAATATGTGATGTAGAGAAAATAAGGGCGTTGTGGTCATTAGTGAAGGATAAGTGAGGGTTGATGGGAAGTTCATTATTAGGGGTCTAAGAAAGCAAGTTTGGTATAAGAAGAAGGTTTGGTATTTTACACGCTCATTGTGTTCGATAGAATTAGGAAGAATGTTGTGGAGAAAAGAGAGTTATGGCACAAAGAGGCAAGAAGAGCATAGGAATCCCGGTAGATCACAAAGAGGAATTGATCTCTAGAAATAATATTAAGGTAAGGGGAGTTTTATCATTGTTATTATAATTTATTAAGGCTTAGATGATTGGTAGATTTCCTTAGGTTTTGGTAGATGTTGATTTGGTGTTGTTTGATAAGAAATTGATGAATTGGTGATGAATAATGGTTTATAATTGATGTTTAATGAGTATAGAATTATAGGTTGTTGATTGATGATGAAACCATGTGATTATATTGTGTTTTAGGATCTCTAATGTAATGAAATCGCATAAGATTTGGACTGGTGTAGTGCAGAAATCACAACAGGAAAATCATGTCTGTGCATCATCGTCGGGCGATAAAACTAGTGTCATCGGGCGACACGTGCAATTTTGGTCGTCGCCATACGAGGACGGGGCAATGGAAAAGGTGGAAAAAGGAAGACGCTTCTGGATTGCGTCACTTCTGGTATCTTAGAGCGAAGCGGATGTGAAGGTTGCGTTGCTTGGTGACAGGGGTGTGTCGCCATGTGACGGGTGGTAGATTTGGTTGGTTGTGTCAGACAATCTTAAAATGGTCATAACTTTAGTTCTAGAGCTCGGATTGAGGTGTCGTTTGGAGCGTTGGATAGCTATCGCAATGAACTTTAATTAGGTGAAGAAAAAATGAGACTTAAGGATTATATCTCTGAGACCTAAGTTAGAATAGAATTAGGTTCACCGTGTTGAATCACAATGATGTTTTGTTTATGATGATGTTTTGTTTATGATGATGATGTTATGACGTTGTGTTGATTATTGTGATATTATGATTATTTTTATGATGAATTACGAACGGTGATATGTGTTGACTAGTTGTGGTCGTATTAAATATGTTGTTGAACATCATTGCATTCATGGAATATTCTAAGACTTCGTTCCAATGAAGTTAGGACTTAGGTCCAGCGAAGTTAGGACTTCGATCCAGTGAAGATGATAGGACAATTGTCTAGGGAAGGCAACAATCCCATAGTGAGGATTGGGTGCAACACTGGAGTGCTCTAGTTCTAAGCGAGAATCGATCCTTTGGTGGGGATCTTTGGAGATAATGATGACTGAGTCATCAGTGAAGTTTTGGTACAATATACATGAGTCTATGATGTTGCATTACATTCTATGTGACATTAAATAATGATTTATTTGTGATGCTTGATGATACATTGTGTATGATGATATGTGTTCGTGTATTGATGAATTGGTGAAGGTGTGAGTATAACATGAAGATATGATTATGTGTAATGCCTTGCTTATGTGCATATTTACTATGTCTATTCCTTATGTCTTATATAATGATTATAATTTACTCACTCTTTCTGTTTAAATGTTGCCTCCATGTGCCTAACACGCAAGTGATCGAGAATAGTCCGTAGAATCATTAGAGGATAGCTTCGAAGTGCGTTTATTTGCTTTTGTTGAATAAAGGGAGTCTTACTCTTATATGTAACATCGGAGTTGGGATCGAATGATTGGAACTTATGTTCTTTGTTTTGTTTTAAGATGTTGAGTCTCCTTACATGGTACTCGAGATGTTTTAATTTATAAGTATAAGTTATAAAGTATGACTAATTTTTATGAAGTACTATAATGAAGTGTTTTGAACTATGATTTCTTCTACCATGATTCGAAGAACTAAATGTTGGTTCTATCTTGTTAAAGATTTTGAAAACCCATGTTACGGAGCATGATGTATTGTTATGAAATTTTATATGAAGATGTGACACCCTTGTTTGGTGATATACTCTGATTTATTTATTAGAATAATTGTGAATACTCCTTGGGGTTTATAAGGGTGTTACAGTTGGAAACTAAAATGAGTTTGGTTATGGAATTTTTGAATACAATGTTGGCAAAGGAAAGTGGTCATATACTTGTTCTGGAAAAAGAAGTTGTGATTCCTCCCTGTTGTACCCCAAAATTTTCCCTCTCATTTTATTCAAAAATATCCCTAAATGCTCCTAGGGTTTTCAATCGCTTTAAGATACCCAAGCTTTTTAGGCCTCTGGATATCACACGGATTCTTCATTTCATCAGGAAATTAGAACCACAAGGTATTTTGATCTTGAACCATGGCTCTCCAACCGTATTACACATGGGATCAAGGTTTTAAGTTTTCTTCCGGCTCAAGATTATCCATCAGGCAAGATTCGGTTTCTCATAGGCAAGTTGTGTGGGACTTCATATTCATGAGCTTCTTATTGATTCAAGTTCAATTGCTCCTTGAATTTCTCAGGAATCTCTGGAAAAATTAGGGTTTGCTCATCAGTTACCATATCCTAGGTTGCTCAGTCGTGCCAATCAGGGTTTCATTTGGGATTTGAGGTTTCTATATCAATAGAGCATGATTCATCTGGTTCTTCTGTGAGCATTGAAATATACCATTAAGGTTTTGAGGAATGGCTATCAAGGACTTCCTCTACAATCAAGTTGAAAAGTTTTCTTCTTCAAGGATTAAGAATTAGTTATTTATCTATTATGCTTCAATTGAGGATCAATGAATTAGGGGTTGCTTTATGGTTTATGATTCAAGCTTGTTATTCCTATGTTGGGCCTTCCAATTGGTCAAGCATTGATCGAGATAGATTATGCATAGAGATCTCGCTTGAGGAGTTATTTTTCATCAATCATAAGGGTTGGTTCATACCATGGTTGTTTCAAATGCAAGTTAGGATATGGAATTCGAGTTTTAAATAAGAATTTCTTCAGGATGTAAGCATGATCTACAATTTGATTTGGTTTCATTTCTTGTGGGATCATGAATTGTACAAGTTTTATTCAAGGCTTTCAAATTCAAGAGATGGAGAAAATTTCTTTGTTGTCATGAGTTTGGAAATTACAAGTCAATATTTGATTTCAAGTCCTATTCCAAATTCAAAATTTCAAGGCATCCATCAATTATTTCAAGTTGTTTCAAGGATTCAAGATTAAAAAATTATTCATGAATTCAGGTTCCTAATGGCACGAGTTCTTCAAAAGGAATTCATCGAAAATTTGAAGCATCTTTCAAGACAATGCTCAATGTTAAATTTTGCAAAGTTCATTTCAAGTTCATTATTCCAAGGAGAACTTTCTTGATTTTCAAAGTTGGCATCATGATCAAATAAATTAAATGCCACACAAGACAATTCAAGCTTCTTTTGGCCTAAGTTTTCAAGGTACATTCATACACGAATTCAAAACAAAAGCTTTAAGCAATTTCATCATGTTTAAAGATTCAAGTTTCAAGAATTACAAGAAAGTTTTAAGTTTCTAAGTTTCAAATTTATTGACAAATCCAAACAATTCCAAGGAAATTACAAGACTAACGTTATTATTCAAGATACTTTCAAGGAAATTATAAGTGCATAAATTCTTAATATCCTAAAAGCTTTCACGTTTCAACAATTCCCCAAGTGTTCCATGGAATTTATATTTATCAACTTCAAGCTTTTGTGTCCAAACTTCATGCTCACCCTTTTGAAGCAGCCTTGCACAATCATAGCAAAAGTAATCAAGTTATAGGACCAATTCACAACTCACAAAAAAAAAGAGTTCATATTTATATCCTAGGCCTAAGGTTCCTAAAAGATGCTAAAACACACGTTCCTTCAAGCTTCATGTTATAACCAAACAAAACCTTGCTAAAAACTTGCCAAGACTTGTCCAAATAAAAATATGCATTACCGTCCAATAAAAAACTGCACAAAGTAGTCCAAAACTGATGCTGCCCTGCACCAAACAGCAACCCAAAATACTTTTGCCCGGCCTGCAAAAACCAGAAAAAATTTGCCAAAACCGTTATCCTCTCCAACCTACCATACTTCCCCTAATCAGTCCAAAAAAACCTTACCAAAACAGCCTTCTATGTCACTCCAAAACCTGTTGTAAACCAGCATCATAACAGACCAAATATTGCACAATTTCAGCAAAAACAAAACTGCAGCAAACAAAGCTATAAAGCAGTAGCCAAAACAATTCAAACATATCAACCCCCCCCCTAAATCCTATCTTTCTCACCTATAAATGCAACATATAAGAAACAGTAAAGGAGGCGAAATTCAAAACCTGCGTTCATTAAACCTTCTTCAATCACCAACCAAATTGCTCCTAAAAATTATCTGCATAAACACTTTCAACCTTCATCAACTTACCTAAAATTCTGAATACCTCTTCAAACTCCTTTAAACTCCTCACTAAACTCTGCTAAAATAACCTAAAACAATAGGAAGACAGAAGAAAAACACACACAAAAATCTAAAGAGAATTCAGAAAAACAAGTTTTCTATCAAAAAACTTTAATACTTTAGTACATAATCCATAAACTACTGCAATACTTCACTCTTAAAAACCTACAATAACACCTCACTCTTCACGGTCAAGACACTACTCCTCTCCCGTATACTTCCTCGTCACTACATTCCATAACTTTTCACCAAAACCTTCATATCACCTACACCTTAACTTTTAAACCATCCCAAATTCACCCCTGTTCCTCTCGACATCATTAACACTCACTGACAATCCTCATCAACCTTAGACCTCAACAACACCATACAAAAATCTCACAAAATACTGAAAAACAACAAAACTTTTGTCAAGAGAAAACGAAAAACTCAAACTTTCCTCCGAAAAGTTCTATTTGCAGATTCACACAATATTCATCCCTGTTCCACTTACAAACATAAAACAATTCAAATAACACTTACCAACCAGACGTATAAGCATAAGAGTAACAACACAGAGCCCATATTCAGAAACGGGAAGAACAAAAAAGAAGGCGGACTCAAAAAGAAACGAAAAGTGAAACAGAGTCAGACGATTTAGCATACCTTGGATCGACTGAGAAGTGTTCCAACTCAAAACGCATTGAATATACTGTTTTCCAAGATTCAGATCTCCTGCACCACATACTATGGCTGCTGCTTCTCCTCCCATTCAGAAATCTCCCAGTCGTTGCATCTCTTCATCTCCCTATTATATCCAATCTGTAGTTCACAGAATCATCACTTATGAGAATCTAATAAAATTGCGTGAATCAGTAGCCGTGAAATCCAAAACGGAATCCCAAAATGAAGAGCGATTTAGGATTGTGAAGGAGGTGATGCACTTTTCTACTGCATCGTTCACCATAGTGTGTCTTGATGAGGATCAAGAACATGAAAATCGCTCTCTATGGAGAAAGTTAAAGTGAATTTACTCAATTGATCTACGGAGTGTGGGACCTTGTATAACATTTAAGAACCTATTTCATTCAACATTGTGGAGCACAGCAAATGGGCCAGCGCTCCTCCATGCGGTCAATCATACACCCTTTCACCCTCGGCTCTCAGATCTTTATCAGGCGCTCCAAATCATGCGTTCCACCATACACTCTCCCTGACCTGCTGCACCGGATCATTGAACACCCTTTATTTAGGCATGGGTTTCTTTCTTCTATTGACACCTCCAAATTTACTCAAATCAGGCCCATTTCTCAACCTTTCTATTTTATTTTATTATTTATATTTGTGTGATTTTTATTTATATTTCAACATATATTTAAAATGTAAATCATTGCAATAATGTTTTAAATAATTATTTATTTTAAAATGATTTTTATTTGATAATATTAATTAATTTATTAATTAATTTTATCAAGTTAAAAGAGTTTTAACTTAAATAATCATTTAATAGTTTGGACTTGTATTGTGTGATTAAAGTATAGCTTGGATATTTATTGCTTTCCTCCCCATTTCACAAATTTGTATCCCCAATTCCCAAAGCATTGTAATAGTGTAGGACATTTGAATTCCGCATTTTACCGCATTTACTTATCATTGTATATTAATTAGGCGTGTATGGCAAGATTTAAAATCAACCGCTAGATAACCCTAATCAAGAAAAATTAATTGAAATCAAAATAGTTTTCACACGCGCACCTCTAGGGTAACCTCACTTGTTGCCTCGGAAAAGCAGTCATGTCCCTCTAATATGGGACTCTTTAGAAAAGAACCTCTATTAAAAAATATCTTAGTCCCTCGATGACCCTTCGATGTTGCCTTTGGTAAAACGATCTGAGTCCCTTACAAAAAAATGCTAAAACGTCCCATAAATTTTCTTTTATGACTGTAACCCATGCCTGTCCCTCACATCCGATAATAGGGCTTCCTACTAATCAATGGTAATATATCACTATCTAAAGGAGGAGGAAAAGAACAAATACTTTTGAGTCGGTAAATTGCTCGTAATTGCTTGCTCATAAATCAAAACAATCTTCACACCTCACACTTTCAAAACATCTTTCAAACACTTTCCAAACAACAAATATTTTCAAAACTAACACTTTGTATACATTCTCAATGATACGAGAATCATTACAAAGTTTTCCGAATGAAGGCGTTTTCAAAATATTTTCAAACTTACACAAACACAAAGCATTTCAAAGTGAGATAGCAATTAAGATCCCATAGATAACTACGGATGAAAAGGGTGCTAACACATTCCCTTTTCATAACCTATCCCCAGAACTCAAGAAAATTCTCAAAAGGTTTTTCTTGTTCTTTTCACCCTTTCCTTTATTGGATAAAAGAAAGGTCGGTGGCGATTCTTTCTATCCGCAACATTTGCGATAAAACGCAAAACACCAAGTCAGTTCTCCCACCGTATCATAGAACTGGCGACTCTGCTGGGGAGTTTAATTCTCAAAGTGGGGTTACCTTAAGAACTAGATCACCTTTATTTCTTTACTTTATTGATTTGTTTTCTTTACATTTGTGGGTCATGCTTGGTTTTATTACTTGTAAAAATCCTATACCCAGTTTTGGGGGAATTTTAGTTAAGTAGCAATAAATCTTGGAAACTGTAAGGCATAGACCGATATGGTTGAAGCGATATCTATGTTAGTATGATACATTTGTTGGTACCGGTGTCCCTTGTGTTGAATCAAGGAGAATACGAGGCCGCTGTGTGGTGTCATGGAGCACTAAATGACCATAGAACCTTAGTTGACCAACTTGGCCATTAGAAAGTAGTGAGATAGCTGGCTTGGGTGCAGACTGAGGTTGGTTGATACTCGATACTACACTCATTGAGATCTGAATTTTTGGATAGTTCAGTCACGAAAACAAAGGCTTGTGCTGTAACAATTCCTGATGAAGAAAGATCAGTGATATTGAGATTCCTTAGAGCTTGTTTACTTCTTTAGGACAGGTTGAACCAACTAAAACTTCAAGAGGGTAATTACCTATAAACCCCATGCAAGCCTAAACCTAAGGCCTTGTGTGCTTTTTGTGTATATGACTATTTGTTCATAACATCATGACATCATGCCATTGCATTTTCACTAACCCATTTCAAGGACTTAGGGATTTATCCTTATTCTATTTTGTAGGACATAGCTTCGGTTCATAGAAATACCATATGAATTAGCTTTGTGAGGGTGCCTCCTCAACTCAAAGAGTTAGCATCAAGGATTTATGAAGATTCTCCCTTCATCCAAAGATATGGTCAACTTCTCAATATGGTTACCTCAAGCTTTGAAGAAGACATGATGTGTGTGCTCTTTCAGTTCTTTGATCTTGTACATCATTGTTTCACCTTTCCCGACTATCAATTGGTTCCTACATTGGAAGAGTTCTATCAACTATTGAGAGTATGTATCCTTGATCAATTTCCATTCACTAGTTTAGAAGAAACTCCAAAGCCTGAAGTTATTGCCAAAGTGTTACATTTGAAGAGGTCCGACATTGTAGCTAATTGGAAAACAAGGAGTGGAGTCGAGGGTTTTTAGCTAAGTTTCTGTTGGAGAAGGCTCTAATGTTTTGGAAGGATATGGATTTTCAAGATTTTGAAGAGGTCTTGGCTCTTCTCATCTATGGGTTAGTAATGTTTCCTAATCCAGACCAACTCATAGACGTGAATTCCGTCAATATTTTCCTTTCTCGCAACCCTGTGCCAACTTTGCTTGGAGACATTCTACATTGTCTTCACACTCGCATTATGAGGAGGAGAGGGGCTCTTATATGTTGCATACAGTTGTTGTCTAGGTGTTTTATTTCGCACCTTCCCCGATCAATATTGAAGAATGAACAAGCCTTAAGGTTGTCTCAAAGGATGATGTCTCTCACTCATTTGGATATCTATTGGTGTTCTCGATCTTTGGAAGATGTCACCATCATTAACGGTTGTGGGGAATTCCCTAATGTCACACGCCTTGTAATTAGGGGAGGTATTACTGATTACCCTTCTCTTGCTCTGTGATAATTTGGGTATGCTCGAAGAGATGGTCCTCATGACGCGCTCATCCAGGGTGTTGTATTCAGCTCTGAGAACTATGTTCAAGGTTATCGTCCAAGATTTGTACAAGATAGGGGAATGGTAAACAAGGTTGATAGCAAGACTTTGGGACACAATAACTCCATCCCTTTAGAGACTTATCTTAAATGGGTACGAGCTCGCGCTCAAAATCTCATGATGCCATATACAGCTACCCTACCAATAGTTGTGGAGCCTGTTGCTGTGGGGGATATTACTTATATCATTCTCCATCCTGACATGCCTATCGACCTCGAAAAATTATAGAGATATTGGATTCAACTCAAAGGAGAACGAGACACCTTTGAAGCTCAATTCTATCCAAGCTAGAAGAAAGTGATGGAGCTCACCAAACAACTTCATAAGGAGCAAATCCTGAATGCCTACATTGACAAGAAGAGGAAGCGCCCGTGGGAGACTTAAGTCTTTTGTTTTAGGAATTCATTTTGTTGTCTTTTTGAGAAATTTTTCTTTTTCAATTGTAAGCACAAGGGGAAATTGTAATTTTTGAACCTATTAATGTAATTGTTGTTTTTGTTTTCTTTTTGGCTAGAAAATTTAAATCTCATAAGGTCCTGGCATACATTGCATCCACATAGCATGAATCATTTCATAAGCAGGTTTTTCGATACAGGTTTCCTCATTTATTTAATGTTTATTTCAGTATAAGATGGCTCTAGAGAAAACCGTCAAAACATAAACAAGGAACCGAGGTAGGTATCTTTATCTTATCACCGAATGGAGTTCCAACTAGATTTCTTTATAAGATTAAGGGTGAATTCTCTAATAATAAGGTTGAATATGAAGCCTTAATAATTGGACTTCAAATTATGTTAGACGTGGGAATCAAAGACGTTGACATCAAAGGAGATTCAGAGTTAGTGGTGAAACAATTGACTAAAGAGTACAAATGCATTAAAGATCATTTGGTAATGTATGTTGCCGAAGCATTGTTGCTACTTCAGAAATTTGATAACGTGTCGATTAGTCACGTGAAGCGTATTTACAATCATGAGGCAAGAGATAAAATGGTGTTTGAGACTACACAAGTGACAAAAACTCGTGGGGCAGACCCTGAAATGATCCCTGATCTCCTGAATTATGATTATTTTGGAAATTTGAAGTGGTAGAATAATTTTTTTCCATTGATGCGTTAGCTGAGAACGACTGGAGAAAACCTATAGTCGACTACTTAAAAAATCCAGTTGGGTCGACAGAGCGTAAAATTAAGTATAAGGCGTTAAGTTACAGAATAATGGGAAGTGAATTGTTTAGGAAAATACCTGAAGGGGTGTTATTAAGATGTTTAGGGGAAAACGAAGCATATGCGGAAACATCTGAAGTACATAGTGGATCTTCTGGTACACATCAAGAAGGTCAAAAAATGAAATGGTTGTTGTGTCGAATAGGAGTATATTGGTCGACCATGTTAAAAAATTGCATTGAGTTCGCCAAAAGCTGCCAAGAATGCCAAAAACATTATGGAATTCAACATGTGCTAGCTAGCAAATTACATTATGTCATCAAACCTTGGCCTTTCAAGGGATGGGCTTTGGATATTATAGGAGAAATTAAACCTGCCTCATCGAAAGGGCATAGATACATCTTGGTGGGTATTGATTATTTTTCAAAATGGGTAGAGG